TGATCGACAACGGTCCGCCCCGCGCGGCAAGCAGCCTCTTTCTCTTGCATCACTCGAGACGCCTCGTCCCTCTCTCGCTGCGCGTCTCTTAGTCGGGACTCTGCTTGTTTCAGTTGTTCTTCTGTGTTTGTCGTGGAAGACGGGAACCTGCGGGAGAACTCCTCTGCCCCGGCTTGAATCGCTTCAATTTGCGCCAAAAGCGCATCAAGTGCCGCCTTTTCGGTATGTTCATCATCTTTTGGCTCTGTTGTGACATGTTTGTCCCTTCGAGGTTCCAGACTGGGTCGCTTAGGCGACGGCGGGTCATCGCCACCGGTGAGTGTCCTTTTGATACAAGACAGAGAAAGTGGGCTTTCGTCTTGGTCATGTAGGGGGCGACCCGGTTCCATAGTCCACACGGCGAGGTGGCATCCGTCCGGCCTCCAATTCGGGTGAAGGTGGTCAACGGCGTGGACTTGCCAATTTGGACTGCTCAGTTTGAAGTCCGGCAGAAATCTAGGATCTGTCTTCGGTTTGGCGTTTCCCAATTGCAAAGCCGTGTTCAGCTGTACACTTGTGTTACTGAGGTAGCGGTCGCAACAGGACTCGGCGCTGCTTTGGGATCCATTTTCCGTGTTCAAAAGATGTGCCAGTTGACGTCTTGCGGCAGCTCCCGTCGCGAAGAATTCGTCGAGGCTGCTGTGTCCTTGCATCAAGTGCTGGAGGGCAAGGAGGCAAAATGCGCCACAGCTCGTCCTGTCGTCTTGCTGTGGGCCGCCCTATGATCAGTTAGTGGTGTTTTCGCTGCTTTGAGGGAGAGAACCTACTAGGTTTCTCACCACAAATGGCACTCCTGGCAGCAAGGCTCCAAACCATGTGTTTGCCGCTGCCTTGACATCCTCAGCGAGGACCGCGATTGAGAGAGGATCATAAACATCGATCCTGCGTTCTGTGATGTGGAATACTCCCAAAGTCCAGTGTTGTGGGCATTGGTGGTGAACGATTGTGATCATGGTTGTCGCTTGGCCATTCCGAATCTGCCGCGGCAATCTTTTGGGCATTTCGTTGGACGGCTTGAAGTAGAGTGGATGGCATAACATGGTGCCAGGTGGCAGACCGTGTTGCTTGACAAGGCATTGTTGCAGAAGATTGATGGTATCGCCAGATAGATAATCAGAGGAGAGAAGCTGGTCGATGGCTGTTTGTCGTTCTGGTTGAAGGGTTGGAGTGGCTGTGGCGGCCGGAAGTAGCGCGGTTGGTCGCACCTGCGGATGGACTGCCTCATCGGTGTTAACGAAGTTGATCACATCGCTGGAACGTCTGATGTTTTCTGTAATGATGAATACCTCATCGACCTCATCGTCGTCCGAATGAAAGTCGTTGGTTGCGGCGTTGATGGTGACAGGTTCAAAAGCTTCGGCGTCGGCTTGCGACGTTTGGGCGATGGGCGCTGGCTGGCCGTCGTCAAAACTCTGTTCCCGTCCGAAATCGGGGTCCTCCTAAGGTTGGATCTGACTCGGTGGGGAACTGGGAATGTCCGGCAGGGCGTGCGGGGGTGACAACGGTGTGGGAGATGCGGACCTGCGGGAAGAAGATGGTTCTTCGAACCGGCGGCCGACCTCAACAGGCCCATTCTGGGCAAAACGCTGGTTTTTGTTGCGAAAAGGTGTATGCGTTGTCAGACGACTTTTTCCAGCAACAACAGCGTCTGCAATGCTTGGGTGCTTTTGCCGGAACGCTTCGACGGCACTACTGGCGGTCGATTTGGTCCAGCAGAGACCCTTTGGTGTCAATGCTGCGTTGTAGAGGAACCCGCCAGGTTGGTACAAGGCCCTGAGGTCAATTTGTGCACGACAGCACATCTCAGTCAACCTCACCATGCTCCCCAACGCATTTTGACACATTGTCTCCTTCGTCGCAGCCGTCTTTCGACGACTAAAACACGGAGGTGGGAGCCAGTTTCTTCCACCCCAGTGATGGTCCAAAGTATCTTCGTACCGTCGACACCTCTCTGCGGAAGCGACAACGTCCTTCGCCACCTTTGTCGTGTCTTTGATCAGGGGAAAGTTACTGACGACGCGGTTGACGACGGTCTGTCGCGGCTTTGGGTCAAGCTCTTGTAGCCGTTGGCGTACGAATGTTTTTGCTTCAGCACCAGGCCGAGGCCCGTTGTCAACAACATTTCTCATGAACCTGTGGTACTAGCAGGGATGATGATCAGTGTCTAGTTTGTGGCAATGCCCGGCCCTGGGGCAGTATCGGTGGCCACTCACAGGGCTATTCGCGGTTGTGGTATTCTGATTGGGGCGGCCTTCCAAGGCCAGTATAGGGGAAACGGGGACGCTGTGTTCATCGTTGGTGACACTGTTGGCATCCTTCACGGGAGTCGTCGATCGTTCTCGTTTGACGGCTCGTGCAGGCTGCACCCGTGGACCTGGCGTCGTCGGGCAGCGTCGTCCACTATTAGGCATTGTCGGCGGTCAGATCGTGATCGGCATAGGAGCCGAAGGCGGTCGGGCAGGGAGCACTTGCGTAGGTGGCTATTCGGGAACGAAGTCGGACATGCGACGGGCATGGAACTAAGGCCAAAGTAACGAAAGGATGCCGCCCAGAACAGAGTCCAAGGATCGGGCGCAAGATGATGATTGTACAGAGGAGGTAGTCAGAAGCAGCGAAGGGGTCCCGGGTTCCCGGGTGCTTGTGTGTAGTGGTGGTCCGGACACAAGAACTGTGCCTGCGTCCGAAGTGGCGCGGCAGGAACTGCTGCTAGGTCGTGCCTGCCCGCCATGCCCGGCAGTTCTTCTTGCGCCTGCGCAGCATGGTAGTCGCCTGAAGGGGCCACTCGGACGCAGCCAGTCGGAAAGAGTCGGTGAGATAGGTAAGGAAGGTAGACCTGACAGGAATGGAACCTGCGCGTATGGCCATGACGGGACGGATTGAACTCGAGCCACAGGAATCTGCGATGGCATCCGTCTGCAACCTCTGAGACAAATCAAGGCCCCACAGGTGTTGGCCTTGGGCTCGGCCTCAGGGTCTGCCGTGTCTGTGGACGCCATGGTAAAGAGATGACATGCGGTCCTTTCCGGCGGGGCAGGGGCGTTGCCATCAGCGTCCACGGGGGTACAGCTCCGCCCGATGGCCCTTGTACAGACTCCAGACTCTCGGCAGAAGATTGCATCCCCGAAGCTGGCATTGCTTGTGCGTCACTCGGTCGTCGCGGGGGATGCGGCCAGCGTGGCTGCCCTCGTGCAGAGAAGTTGAGGATGGGGAGCAAGTTCGGACGCAGTGTGGCTGAGTAAGTCCTCGGTTTCTTGGACACGTGGCTGTCGGCCGAGAATGTCCCCCGTTTGGGGACTTTCCAGGATTACGTGTTGGCTGCTCGGACGCAGCAGTGGCCCGTAGGGACCTTTTCTGTGCAGAAGCCCGAGGCGGCAGTCGGGTGCCTCGAGCGGCCGCGGGAAGGCGACGACCAGTCGCTTCAGCACCATCGCGCGGCGACACGCATTGACTTTGGAGCCATGACAGACGAATGATACCAGATAATGACAGCTTTTCCGCGGTTGCGAGGGTGCAGATTTCGGATCAGACAATGGGCAGAGAAAGGAGACACATGTGGTTGAGTGCAGGAGGGGGACTCCTGCTCGGGGTGGGGACGCTTTACCTGGGGCGCCATCTCAACGACCAGCACCTGCATCGCTTTCTGAGCAACCCTGGCGGCGGTGAAACCATGAGGGACAACGATCTCGCTGCAGCAGAGCCTGCTAGACTTTTCTGGGCAAAGAATTTGACCATAACCTTCCCTCCTAGCTGTGTGATGCCTCCCTCTCTTGGAGTCGCTACCATGCATTAGAGGTGCAATTCTGATAAGCAGAACAGCATTATCGCCGGTATGATCAACCAAATTCGCCACCACCTCTAGTCTACTGTGTGTGCATAATTATTCCCGCACAAGTACGGTGTTTCTGTCCAAGTACCACGTTTTGGACAGCATGTCGTCCGCGAGTAGGGGGCGCGTAACAGTCTCCACCTCCCCGCCAGCAACAGCGCCTGAACCTGCGGCGTATCAAGTGATGGTGGTTCGAGAAGGGAATGCCAAGGAGAGTTGCTAGGATTGGGAGATCTAGGTGGTGGTGGGATGCCAGAGTTTGAATTGGCGAAGGGCAGAGGGAATCATCGACAGGGAGGAGGGCAAATCGCGCAAGCTTGTGAGTCGTAGACTATGATCCGAAAGCGCTCAGAGTAATATTTCTTATTTCGCAGAGCATGCAAATAACCTTTGTCAAATATCTAACGGGGCCGACGGGTTCCCAGGCAGCAACTGGACGAACAAGACACAGCGTTCATCTACGCAGAATCTCAGTGGTCAATCGTTGAAATCAATCAACGCTTCATGGTAAACATTGAAACGCCTCCCGAAAGTCTCAGCATATTTCACTCGGAGGATGCGCATGCTGGGCAGGGAGAATGACCTTTATTTGCCTGGATAGAAATCGCAAGACAAAGACAACTACAGCATCTCCTGTATTTTGAAGAGTCATGGGACTCATGAAGGGCAGGGTCAGAGCTGCCGTATTTTTGCGGGCGTGGTTGGTTTTCGACACGTGGCGTGGAGCTGAAGATGGAAGAATGGAAATTAATAATGGGGCTTGTGAAGCTTCCGCCGATAGCAACCAGCTAGATGGTCATACTTCTGGCTACCGCATTGCCGGAGCGTCGACAGTGACGGTATGTCCTTGCTTGCCTCACCAAAGCAAAGGATGACAAGTTCGAAGCAACCCGCAAGAGGTGCAAGACCGCATAGGTCGATGTGCAAGCAGACGGTGCAGACATTTTGTGCCCACGGGAAGCTTGAGAAGGAGACCTCTATGGACATTATCGATGCATGTAGCAGGGTACCTACCTTACCTGTGAAATATTAGACCCATGGTCTAGATAAGTCAAAGCACCCACTTTCCGGCCACCTCTGCATTCCGGCCACCCAAAAATGATGCATTCATAACAACCACCACTTTATTAATCAACTATCGACTGGGTATCGCTGCCACTATTATACAGCTTTCGGCCTCACTAGGGTATTCAGAGGCGCTGGATTCATGTGTATCATCGAGGGCATCGCCAGCCTCAATCTGGGCCTGCCGTACGTCGCTAATGGTCGCGAACTTCGTGTTTGGGTCGATGTGAACAGCCTTCCTCTTCCTAGTGATGCTATTGTTGACTTGGGCCTGGAGGAGCTGTATTTGATGCTGGGCGGTAGCCAACTCCATGGACTGCTCTTGGAAGCCTTTCTTCACCTTTCTAAAGAGCTGGCGTTATGTGGCGATACTTTGTTCCAGTTGACTATACAGATGTAGTTGGTCGCCAAGGTCCTTCATCTTCCTTAGCGTAGACCACTTAACAGCAGAGGAACCAGATACCCATTCCTCGTTATCCTGGGAATTCTGGGCATCATAAGCACCCTTAGCCTTCTTGTTGAGTGGTGTTGATAGTGCTAGTGATGCTGATGATGCCTTAGGTAGTAGTAGGGAGCTCATAAGTGGCTTTGCAGCAGCAACAGGCCATAACCCAGTGTATTTCCAGCCACTCTTTATATTGCTTTCTGTTAGACCAGCAAGGCGAGCCTTCTGATAGCATGTTATGAAGTTCCTCTTGCCTATGATAGTCAAATCGTTCCACTGGGTGAGGTAACTAAGCTCCTTACGATAGGCTGCCTTGACAGGGCTGAAGACTGACTGATCAAGTGGCTGGAGGACATAGGAGGTATGTGGTGGTAGGAATAATAGATGGATGTTGTTGGTATAGCATTCCCATATAAAATCTGTTGTCGTATGGCTCCCATGCCCATCTAGGATAAGCAGTCTGACCTGGTCAGGTTGAGAGGGCCTAGTCTGAGGGAGGAAGACTCTTTGCAGCCACTCAACATCAGTATCATCAGTAGTCCATCCATTTTCTGTTGCTGTGAATTCCCATCCATTATATAGGTCAAGGTCTAGAGGAAACCACTGCTGTTAGACCTTCTTGCCCTTATATATAACCAGTGGATGCAGTGCCTTGCCAACAGCAGAGATAAGTCAAAGCACCCACTTTTCGACCACCCCTGCTTTTCGACCGCCATGAATTGACGCCATCGCAACCACCACCATTTTATTCAATTAATTATCAACTACCTCTTGAAGCCACAATAATGCAAATTTCGGCCTCACTAGGTAATTCAGATGCGCTGGATTCATCTGAATCATTTTCAGCTTCGCCAGCCTCAATCTGGGCTTGCCGTATCTCTTTGATTGTCGCAAACTTCGTATTTGGGTCCAACTGAATAGCCTTCCTCTTCCTGCTAGCAGTGTTGGCAACCTTGGCCTCTAGAAGCTCTATCTTTTGCTGGGCGGTAGCTAGGGCAAAGGACTGCTCTTGGAAGCCTTTTTTTACCTTCCTGAAGAGCTGGCGTTGTGTGGCGATGTTTTGTTCTAGTTGGCTGAGTATATGTAGTTGGTCCCCTAGGTCCTTCACCTTCCTTGGCGTAGACCACTTCACAGCAGATGAGGCTGACGCCCAGCCCTCTATACCATGGGCATCCTGGGCTATATGTTTATCTCTGGCAACCTTGTTGAGTGGTGTTGATGGTGTTGTTGTTGATGATGTTGCCTTCTGAACCAGCAGCCTATTCATAAGCGGCTTTGCAATAGCAACAGGCTATAACCCAGTGTATTTCCAGCCACTCTTGATATTGCCTGCAGTCAGCCCAGCTAGGCGAGCCTTTTGATAGCAGGAAATGAAGTTCCTTTTGCCTATAACAGTAGAGTCGATCTACTGACTAAGATATCCCAGCTCTTTCCTATATGCTGCCTTGACAGGGCTGAAGACTGACTGGTCAAGTGGCTGGAGGACATAGGAGGTATGTGGAGGCAAGAATAACAGATAGATGTTATTAGTATAGCATAACCACATAAAATCTGTCGTCGTATAGCTCCTATGGCCATCTAGGATAAGGAGTCTAGCTTGGTTAGGGCTAGAGGGCTTGGTTTGGGGGATAAAGACCCTTTCTAACCATTCAACAGCAGTAGCATCAGTAGTCCACCCATTCTCTGTTGATGTGAACTCCCATCCATCATATAGGCCAAGTTCTAGAGGAAACCACTGCTGTTGAACTGTCTTGCCCTTATATATAACCAAGGGATGGATAGCAGCGCCCCCAGCTGATATACATTCAATAATAGATACCCAGGCTCGCAAACCAGGCTGCTTCTTCCTTACTGACTTAGTCGCAGCACTGCCTAGCACTAGCCTATTATCCCCTTTACCCTCAAGGATACCAGTCTCATCCATATTATATCTGTTGGCTGGTTTGATGGCCTGGATGTGAGGTATGGCGAGATATTTGAACCAGTCCCTGATAACCTCAGTAGATACCCTATTAACACGCCTCGAATCAATAGATCGACTTCTCTGGACCTTGATAGATGGGTTTCTTCTTATAAAGCCATCTACCCACCTCTTGCCAAGAGGTTGGGTGTCCCCCATGGCTTGGAGGATGCGATGGGCGAAGTCCTTCAGTTGTTGATGGGTTGGTGGCAGCCCAAGGTCTGCCTGGGCAGTCACCCAAGTGGCCAGGCTGGCCTCCTGGCCAGCAGAGAGCCTCTGGAGGTCTTGAATTGCTTCTTGTCTTGGTTGGTGGCCTTTGGTACGGCTTATAAGCGTTGATCGTGGCACACCCCATCGCTTGGAGGCAGTGCGAGTAGATATACCATTTTTGATGTCGTTAAGCGCCTGGATAACCTCATTTTCGGTATACTGTTTCATTGTATAATAAAAAAGATATTCTGAAAGAATGATGGAAATTGATGAAGGATTGAAAATGTTGTGGTAGTTTGAAAATTGGGTATAGTAGTTAATGGGGTGGCTGGGCGGCATTTTATGGGTGGTCGAAATGCAGGGGTGGTCGAAAAGTGGGTGCTTTGACTTACACTCGATGATAGATACCCAGGCTCGTGATCCAGGCTGCTTTTTCCTAACTGACTTCGTGGCAGCCCTTCCCAGCACCAGCCCATCATCCCCCTTGCCCTCAAGGATGCCAGTCTCATCCATGTTATATCGATTAGCTGGTTTGATGGCTGTGATGCGAGGCATCGCGAGATATTTGAACCATTGCCTAATAACCTCAGTAGATGCCCTATTAACACGCCTGGAATCAATAGAGCGACTTCTCTGGACCTTGATAGATGGGTTTCTTCGCAGGAATCCATCCATCCATCGCTTGCCTAGGGGTTGGGTATCCCCCATGGCATGGAGGATGCGCTGGGCGAAGTCCTTCACTTGTTGATGGGTTGGTGGCAGCCCGAGGTCAGCCTGGATTTGCACCCAGCTGGCCAGCTTAGCCTCCTGGGTATGGGATAGTCGCTAGAGGTCCTCAAAGGCAGCTGCTCTCTGTTGGGCGCCTTTAGTCCGGTCTTGAAGTGTTGATCGTAGTACTCCCCATCGCCAGGAGGCATTGCGGGCCGATATGCCATTTGCCATATCGGCAAGGGGCTTAGTTGATCTCATTTTCGGTATACTGAACCATTAAGTAATCAAAAAGGTATCCTGAAAAAAGGAGGGAGTTTGGATAAAAACAGAAAATGTTGTAGTAGTTAGAAGTAGGAGGTTATCTAGAAAGTGGGTGGCTGAGCGGCATTTTTTGGGTGGCCGGAATGCAGGGGTGGCCGGAAAGTGGGTGCTTTGACTTAACACCAGCCTTGTCGCCAGCTTTAGGAATAAGCCTCGTGTGACGGTGTTGCAATATTTTCCGCCTCTGCGTCATGTAATTATTAGCACAGTAGCAGAGAACACCAGAAATACTGCCAGTGAAAGGATGAACGTCGTCGATGATTTGTGAGCCAAGGTGTCTCGCTGGTGACATGGGATGGCCGATGGGGAACAGGGATGGGAGTGAGGGGTGCGAGGGAACATTTCATAGTTCAGCAAACCGCATTTCCGCCAAAGACTGTCTATTGACTTGTTCGATGTGCAGGAAAGAGTGGTCATGAGATATCAGCAACCACCCACCCTTATGGCCCTCTCGACCAAAATGGCCAACAAGCAGCCCCACGCAAGGGTTCCCCACACAGGTTCGCTCATCAACAAAATGTTTCTTTTCCCTATTGTGTCTTTACAATAAAAGCCGCCTCCTATCTTTATGAAGTATCGCTATCACAGGCTTGTATTTCTGAGGGTCCAAAAGGACCCGGAGGTCGGCGGTTCCCGGAGCAGTGTCCCTTCCCTAAATAATGGACTCCATCGAGTATCGGCGAAGAATGAAACACAAGATGACGAGCTACGGAAAATAATAGAGCCGTTTGCTGGGAATTCGAAGTTATGATAATGCTCGCAGTCTTGAGTTACACTTACGTTGCGATGGCTGACTCGATGAACGCTGCGTTGAAGCGTGAGCACAAGCTTACAGGTCTCGCTCGTGAGACGGGGTGATTGTCATTATAGCCAGGAGTGTAGCGCTGTCTGCATTTTGTTTGCGCCGGGGGTGGCGTCGCAGCGCTGCGTTCAGGTGTAGTTCGAGAAGATCACGGATGGCGTCGGCAAACCTGCCGAGTGGGTATGTGTGACAAGAGTCGGTGTTGCCTGAGTTGGGGAGGCCCTAAGGCTCGTATTTCTCTGCCATGTAGGTGAGACAAGCAGGTAGGTACTTTGATTTCCTGCTGCTCATCTCAGTTTGCACCTTAAACTGCCGGGGCGGCCTGGCTAACGGGGCTGCGCCCAACCTTGCTCATGTCTAAACAAAGTGAACGCAGTGCACCGTCTGAGGTAACATGCTGCTCGAATCTGAGCTCAACCCCCCGAAAGAGAAAGACATGAGAAACAAGAGCTTGGACGTAGTTAAAACAGGGGAGAAAGCGTAGTTGTTAAGGTTGTAGGCCCCGCGAGTTTGTCGCCAGGATCCACGAATCATAACACACGGAGGCACCAAATACAGCAAGTCGTGAACAACTGAGACTTTAGCGCTAGCTCACTTTACCCTGTAGATTGAGTTTTTGGTGAAAGTGGAGGTTATTGGGTCTCTCAAACCTGGCTCAGTAACAAGTGTTCCAAACAAAAGGCACTAGTGAAGAGCGACTTGGGGGACCCAACCAGCGCGTGGCTGGAGAACAAAGACCATCCCCCCAAAGAAGTGGGCCAATGTACACACTGGGCGGTACGATAATATTGATTCTTTCAGTCGGTGACCCCCGAACCTGAATTCCTCCCACGGCGGCCTCAACATATCCGCCTGTGCCCAAGCTGGCGGCACAACAATTTCCTCCTGCAAGGCTCAAGCCATTCCGGGAGGGGTTTTGGCAGCTGGCCATGAATGCGGACATCGACACCTTGCTCTTAACCAGTACAACCCCGTCTTCAGGGTTGCCGGCGAGAATTGCGGCACCAAGATCTGGCCCAAGTAGTGCTTCCTAATCACAAGGCTATGCAACAAATACAGAGACAACGCCAGAAACGACGACAGCAACGTAAGTCCTAAATGCCGCGAACTGCTCTAAGACTGCTGAGGCTC